TTTATATTTTCGATTTAGTTTCTTATGTATGATTATGTGTTTCACTCGTCAATTACAGAAAACCTTGTATATCCTATGAAATAATGAAAATTTCGATGAAAATCGAAAAAATTGAGTAAATATGTGCAATAATAAGAAAGTAGATAATATGTCTTTCAGTATAAGAAATAGGAATAAACGAAAAAAGTATCTGAAATGAAAAAGATTTTAATAATTTCTCGTTATTAGCATTGTTAAATTATTATTACTTTAGATATTGTTAAGGTTTTCGATTCTAAAGGAGAATCACCTGACGTGGATACAGGTGGTTACAATTAATGTAACTTTCAACGTTTACAAGTCAGAATTATGTTCTTAAGACATCTTTCGAATGAAAAATTTGAAAACAGCCTTTATGCTCGAATTAGTAGAATTTTTCTGGAAGCCACGACTACGTGATACCTCATAGTAGACGAACAAAATTTCAAAAGCAACAAACGTCAATAGCAAGTACTTATCGGAGCTACTAGCTTGATATTTGTACACCGTGGTTAGGCATTCTATTTAGGCGTAATGCGACAATGCAAATAAAAAAAGTATTTGGTAATTTAATATTCACAGTGAAAATTGTCTGATACTCATACACATACGTTGTAAGTAAGTTGATAATTGTTACACAAGGTGCTCATTTTTGTTTGAACATTTTCGCCTGAAAGTTATTCCAAACAAATCATAATTACATTCCATCGATTTTAAAAAGCATTTCTGACAGAACTTATGGTCCATGAATGAATGAATCGGGAAATATTAATAACATGTTAACATATCGTGTGCGATAACTTACTGGCACGTTAATTGCAGATACAGAATACTTTTTAAAACACACGTCGCTTGCAACAGAATGAACGCGTTACAAATGTCCAGAGATTAGTTATCGTTCGTAGGTTTTCGAAGTTGGCAAGTACGTATTGTTTAAAAATATTAACGATTGCGGCGGTGGAAAAATGTATGGTTCGTAATGAGATATTGTTGGGACATGTTGTGCGATTCTTGGCACAGAAGTGATGCACACACAGCTTGATCGACAACAACTCGATGCGAGGCACGAAGGTGTACAAATTAAACGAAATCACATGAAACCTTGTAAAAATAGAAATCCTTACAAGAATGGCCGTTGATACGTTCGAAATTGTTATGTTGTAATTTACGTTAAGATATGTAAGGGTAACCTGAAGCGATGCAGCGGATCTAACATTAATACGAGGTAGCGTTATTATTATATACAAATGTTGTATGATACCTTTATTACTTTATTAACACACTGTCGTTATACATAAGGAATAAATGTGGCGATTAAAGTTTAATTGCCATTTTCAAAATGCAGTATAATGTTTCTTATTAATATACATATTTTTAATCATCTAACTTATAAGTCCCATGGGACGTGTAAGAGTGACCAGAGAATTGTTCGAATAACTATCGAAAAATTGTAATCTACGCTAAACCGTACACTCTCTCAGTCTCTATCATAAAATGTGCGTATCATTGTACTGCAATGTTAATTGTATCAAAATATACGTAAGTACTTAATCGATCCCCGTTATAGTCGGGGACATGTAAAAATATTGTATTACTATATTTAAATTTTTATTCAATTTCTTTTATAGTATACACAAGTGAAAAGGCAATAACTAGTTTATAATGTTGTGCAATATAAAAAAGACAACATCACAGCAACAAATTGTGCAAATGGTTCAAAGAAATATACATTGTGCCAAAAACATTTTCGAATCAATTAATATAGGTACATACTGTATATTGCAATGTCTACGCAGATGTATATATTACTAGAGTCGATCGCTGTAATGATATAGTGAAATAGTAAACTCGAAGATCTTTGGACTCAGAACTCTCTTGATTATTCAAATTTTAAACACTGATAGAAATAGTAACTAATTTATTATAGAAATTCAAGTACATAGCTTTCTTGTAACTATCACTTGCTGACAGATAAATTCAATTCTTTAACGAACCTCTATCCGCGATACTATTTGCTTTACTACTTTACTATATACATCATTTCGGTCGACTACACATAATAGTCCGTTGTAGATGTTATTTTTAATTACCTTATAGTAAAAAATGAAAAAGGTAATAGGAGATTTCTATGTTCTGAAAATAAATGTTATTTTTACCGAAAATCTTGCAAGAATTTAATAACCATCTTGTATACATATTTTAGCAAAACCATTTTTTGTATGTTTTGAATATTACCATTTGCATCGAATCACTAATAACTGTTATGTAAATAATAAATGTTGATGCGAACTTGAATCTTGCGTACAGTGATTTATCCTCAGAGCCGTGCTGAGTTCAAATTAAAAAGCAAACTTTTTTAATTTTTTTGTGAATAAAAAATTCTGAAATATTCCCTTAATCACATTAATAACCATTGGGGATCTCTGATTTGATACAATATTGTCTTAATCTTCGTTATCTTTCTTTTTAAATTATTTTAAAAATAAAGTAATAGAAAGCTATAAATAGTCACAAAGATCGTCATCTTAAACAAACGACCAGATGTTACCAAGTGTTATTTCGTATTCTACCTGATTTAAGCGAAACTTGGAAAAAATGTCAACAGAACAAATTTAATTAATTTTTTTTCGCGTAGTTTAGTTTCTTCATGTAGTTAAACTATAATATTTCAATCAAAACACTAAATGTACCAATATTTTCCTACTGATTTATCGCTTCCGCGAATGTCTTCGTTTTTTAACATCATTGCATTCTCTTTTACTTATTGTAACGTATACGCTACACAGCCAACCTTCAATTAAACTTTTAAAAGCGGGAACAAACGGAAATATAATAATAAAACTAGACATAAAAAGCCAAGGAAAAAATGGAATTAATTAACAAGAAAATGAAGTAATTAAAAATAGAAATTCGCCAAGTTTTCAGGCCACCGACTCCAATCTAACAGATTATAATTTCATTAATGTTATGAACTTTTTTATGAAGTATTCAGAGAACGTAGTTCAAAAATAATGCTATCGAGAACAATCTTTTTGTAGAATCAGTTTCTCTTCTTGAAACATTTTCTTACATTTAACAGGAATGTATGTATCCTCAAAATATTAAATCAGCTTCTACTAATCCAATCATTGTTCCAATCATAAGTAGAATTACATAATAAGAATTTTTTATCTTGAATATCGACAGACATTGTTTCCAAATTATACCTGTGATCATTTCTAGAAGATTGCGTACTTATTCCTAAACAGAGATTGATAAACACAGTAATTGACGGTATACCGGATACTATATAAATGAAGACTAATCCAAGGAAGGTAGAGTTTTTATTTCAGTCATGACCCAACTTATCTTGGTGTCTATTCGAGGAGGAAGGATGAACGAGATAGGACCAGAGCAAGCAAGATGGAGCATCAATGATCGAGCTGCGGTCTACCTACCACAGCCGGCAGACAGATCACCAAGCGTAAGGCAGACAATTGTGAAATGAGTCATTCGCAAGCGAAAATAAAATGATCCATTTTTCACCACTACTTTCATGAAAATGATATTAATATACAATTGTAGATATAGAATTTATACATATATAAACGGGAGAACATAGCACTTTGTTGGTATTATTTCTATGTTGATTTATATGTAAGTATTCGAAATGTTTTTCCATCTTAAAAAGAAAATGACTACAGTACAGTGTGTTTTAAAAGTTTAACATCATATATATTGTTCATAAACATTTCGTGTAATAAATCTTTATAAACATTTCGGTAATATGATTTAAATCCATCGAGATTAAATCTCTTTTTATCTGAAAATGTCTGAAAACTGCCTGAAAACCAATAAGGGGTGTCCCAGTCATTCGAAAATTATTTAAATATTAAAATTAGTTCATACTTTTTTAACCTCACGATTAATGATATCTAGTAATTTTATTCTGCTTCGTCAGTTTGAGTGTAGACATCAGATTTTATCCTACAACATTAGAATACAAGTTAAATACACCAACTTTTATATTCACTTTAAGAAAGAAAAGTAACCTACAAGGTATACCTTTATATAATATAGACTGTGACATTAAGAAATTTAATTTTGCAAGGTTGCAAAATTATATACATATATATAATATAAAATAGGAATATAACTTTCATAGTAATATTTATTAATGTTTTCTAAGTTTTAACCTTCAAATCTCGTAGATCATGAAAAATATTAATTGTAATAAATACATATAAATTGAACAATTATAGGCAACATAATAATGCAAACAAAATTTATAGGTCCTAAAAAACAAATTTAATTAAAAGGATTATTTAGTAATACCAGTAAATTCTATTTTAATGTTAGATATTTAATTATTATTGTAATTTGTTCATTCTATATTTTAATCTAATTTTTTTTAGTGCTGAAGATAATATATTTCTCTTCGTGATTATCACACTTTACTTAATCATAAATTATTCAAATCCAGACATATAATCCAGAAAATATAATTTATTAATCAGAAAATCAAATACCAAGTATTCACAAGTTCATTAATTACTGTTTCAAAAATCATTTAACATCCCTCAAAGTGATTTATTAACATTTTTACTGATTCAGTATCCACATTTTCTAAATTCTTTCATATGCCTCCTTAGAGAATACGGTTAATATTTAATTTGTTTCATTAGACCATAGTAGCAATAAAACCTATCATCCGAGGTTTCAGAGATCTGAAATTACAACCGTGGAACATTAAAAGGCCACTAATTATTCTTATAAGGAACCATTTACGGTAACAACAACATAATGTATAGTATAATTATCTTCTGCAAGAGGGTTAAAATATAAAATCCGTGACAATCGTACAATTCTAAACGATACCGTACGACTTACTGTAACAATTTACCAATAGTTCAACAAATACATAACGAAAACTCGAAAAATCTAATTTTAGTTGGCGGATGAGTCATCCTAAGCGTCGAGCTTATCACTCTCAGCGACCAGCAGCCGGTCCCGCACGTGATGGAAGGGCGCTAGAGCGGATTAAGCAAAAAAGGTGGTGGGGATGTCTGCGCGAGCACTAATCCGTGGTGGGAAGGGCGCACTAGTCCGTGGAACGCTGCGAACGGCATACCGTCTGAAATTTCCGTATCCGTTATTTCGATTTCACTCGGTGCTTCTATACTAGACCACCGGAGGATAAAAGACAAAAAAAATTTAGCCATGGAATCGAATACCGAGAAATCTCGTTCCATTGAAGAATACGATCTTTAATTAACCCTTCCACGAAAATACACGAGACAGCGGATCTAGTAACCGTCATTAATCGCGTGCAATGTCTGCCGAACGTAATAGCTCGTACATTGTCCTCTCGCTGCAGCAGCGTCTGGAGGTTCTACGAAAGCTGGAGTATGCTGTCCCGATCAGCCAACTGGCAACCGAGTATGGCGTAAGCGTTGCGACCATACACCGAATCAAAAAAAACGGAGTCCAACTGCAGCAAAATTCTGAAACGTCTGGGAAAATCAGAAAGAGGATGAGGAAGCCCGTACTACACGAGCTAGACGATCGCTTGTACGCGTGGTATTTGCAACAGCGGGCTGTGTGCGATCGAGTCACGGACGCGCAGTTCCACAAGAGGGCGCTAGAACTAAACAAACAGTTCGCCGGTCCGTCGACGTTCACCGCGAATAAAGGATGGATATGGCGGTTCAAGAAACGTCATGGAATAGCTGTCTCGAAAGCTACCGCCGTGAACGACGACGCCGATGTTTCCACCAAGGCGGAGGAGGAGTTCATTCAAGGGTTCCTATGGCGTCTCGAAGAGGAGAACATACAGCTGGAGCACGTCTACAACATGGACGAGACCAGGCTGATGTGGAAAGTCCTTCCGCCAAGAGTGTTGGCCCACGCAGGTGACAAAAACGTGTTGAACAGTACGCAAACGGACCGTGTCACCGTGGGACTTTGTGCCAATGTTACAGGCACTCACAAACTTCCACCACTCTTTATTCACGACTGCGAGAAATCAAGGGCACTGAAGCACTTAAATCAACACGAGTTACCAGTCATTTGTCGAACTCAGGAGAACAGTTGGGTAGATAAGTCTGTGTACGAAGACTGGTTAGAAAATCACTTCAAACCAGCCGTAAGGAGGCATCAGTTTGAAAGCGGTTGCTACGGCAAAGTGCTGTTGCTGGTAGACAGCAATGATGCTCACATTCTAGCGAAACCGGCGGACATAAAGGAGGAGAAGGACAACGTAGAGGTTGTGTTCCTTCCTACGAACACGAAGTCTAGCTTGAACCCAATGTGTCAAGGTATAATGGAAGAGGTGAAAACATCCTTTCGTTGCCGGATGTTGAAGAAAATCTTGGATTTTCCACATGGCGTCACTCAGTTCTACTCGGATTATGATCTGAAGGATTGCATCGATATAGTGACCGAGGCGTGGAAAGATGTGTCACGAATTGCCCTCCGTGATTCGTGGCAGAAAATTTTAGGGAACAGGGTAAAAGAGGAAGTTATAGTCAAGAACGAGCCGTGTGATACCACAGCGTCGAGTATCATTAGTATCCGAAATACGGTTAACACAATAGTTGGGACAACGATCGGACAACAGGAAATCGAAAATTGGCTTACAACATGTGAGAAGGGGGAGGGAGATCCGAACGATATGTGTGAAAAGAAAAAATGTTCGGATCAAAAAGTTCCTTCGTACCTGGAAGAGGAAGAAGTAGAGAGAACGTTTTCAAATTTACTACTTTGGTCGTTAAATCAGCCTGAATTTATTAAGTTACAGATACAAGTATTGAAGAAATATTACGAAGAAATGCAAAAGCAAAGTAGTTACAGTATACTAGAATAATAAAAATATTTTTTAATTTGTTTGTCATTGTTTACTGAACCCGCAGTTTTCGACGAAATAAATTATTAATAACTGATTTGAATCATTTGATTTATATCTTTTTTAAATGAAGGATAAACTTAATTTTCAGAAGGAAGTTTAGAAGTAACACTTATACAAATGTATAGGTAACTACCAGTTACTGATACATTGTATTTTCATAATTATTTCCAGCAAAGACATATAAGAAGTTGAAATAATTACTAGAACAAGAACTTTACTTCTCTGAATTACTGCTAGATAATAATGTATTATCTAATTTATTATCTTAAATTCATATTCTACAAACATACACTGTAACATTAAACATAAAAAATGCATGTGTATATAATAAATGTAAAGTTTCATGAGCTTCTTGGTAAGTATTTCTGAAAATGACAAACTGTAAATAGTAAATTATTTTCTCTTAAGGAATTTTACAATAAAAGATTGTATGAAGTATAAACTGCAAATAGATTGTTTGTATATAGTGTTATATGTATATTAAAAGTTATTTTACTATTTAATAAAACTATTTATAACAAATAGATCACGTTCTATTGAATAAACAAAAATTTATTACAAAATAATCAATAGGTATAATACATTTGTCAGGTTCATATACATCAAAATATACATTTAAGATTTAAAAATCAATTCATCTCCTAACTTAATGGTGCTGTTTGTTACATGCTCTTATATATACCTAAAAATATTTTATGACTCCAACATATATCGTAAAAACATTCACACATTTTAAGTAAGATAAGTGATAATGAATAGTTGTATTTGATGTGCCTTTTACAGTCCAAGTAAATCAGATTGTATGAAATATTACTAAATTTAGACTTAATAGAACATCACATTTTTAGTTTGTACAAAAGCTATAATAGCTTTCATCTAGCATTCCAGTATATTCTTATAAAATGTCACTGTATATTTCGTATTTACAGTCTATAATTTGAAAAAAATATATTCTTTCCTATGAAATTATATAAGACAAATGTCTGCTTACATGTTTTCAATAACAATATAATCATTATCTTATTATGCATTGAAACATAAATATGTCTTTATAATACATTAGGTGGCAGACTGTTTATAATTCTTTGTACTCATTAATTTTTTACCACACATTGCACATATAGCTTTCTTATATGCACATGATTGGCAATAATGTGATCCAACTTGATGTACTTTTTGTCTGCATATTCTGCAAGTCTCAAACGTAGCAGTATATGGATTAAACCTTGCTTTTCCTGCAGATAATGCTTTATTTTCTCCAACTTTACGTCCTCCACTCTCTACAGTGTTCCTCGCACCACTTTTCCATGGATCTGGAGTTATGACTTTTCCTAATTTTTTCTCACACTTCTCGCAAACCATTCTGAATCGCACTTAAGACTTCCCCCTGAAATGTTAAATAAAACTAAGCTATTATAATATACTTCTTAAAATTCGTTAATATCATTTTATAACCGTTATACAATTTTATACAAATATCATGGTATTACTTTTTAGACAGCAAATGGTTTCCACAAATTAAATTCAATATTAGCAACAATTAAACATCTTACTCTTTATTAGTATACAACAAGTTTAAATATTATGTTATTCAATTACAAAGTGATTGACAGTAATACTTAACCTCACTACACAATCGTTTATAATACAAACAATAATGTACAATTGTGCTATGCTACAGGATATGTACTATCACCGATAGATGGCGTACTAATCATGCACACTTCTGGCAATAAAATTTTTAAACTATTTATTGAAAACAACATGCAGAAGAACATAAATCTTTGTAAACATTACTGTCTCAGTATTTCTCGATATTATATACACGTATCAAGTAAATTTAGCCAGTTAATTGAGACTTACACACGAAAATATTTTCACATAAATTTTAGAAAATTGTAATTTATCACAAGCAAGAACCTGTAACAATTTGTAGCCCCCTAGTGGTGATCAATACACCTTGTATACCACTTCATCAATAAAAACTACCTATTAATATGTATATGTGTATCTATGAACACGTAGTAAACACGTACCTTTCAAATACTTTTATATATGGTATATATACTTACTGTACAGTCTGTAACGTTGAAAAGTAAATTTTGTAATGTGAGAAATGTAAATACAAACTTCAGTAACAATATTTTAGTTAGTATGTTTGGCGTTTTGACTAATTAGAGATTATATTCTACAAAAGTTATAAAAGAAATTAATAATAATAAATATTTACAAATTGAGTAAGTTTCAAGATAATAAATTTATACAAATAAGGTTTACAAATTTTAGAACACAGTTGGAATAACAAATTTTGGCAACATCAAGAAATTCTATTCGGATAATGAGTATTTAAAATTATTTTATTTTGCTTGTTTATGTTACATTTTAAATAATAATTTTTTTAAAATATTATACGTATTTTATTTCTCTTTATAATTTTTATATTTTATTCAATCATAAATTATTCAAAAGCAAACTAAAAAAATTCGATTTCCTGAGCGGAAAATATGGGAAAATCAAATATTTACAAATTGATTAAATTTTACATTTAATATTCATTTCAGATACAACAATTTTTCTTGCGGTTTATGTTACATACTGACGATCATACTAGTTGTCCACCCCTCTTCAATCACTCCAGGCTCGTAACATTGAGGGTATTCATACGGGGTGGACAAGTATTCTGATCGTTGATGTATATATTTACTTAAGAACATGAAACAAGTAAAACATAGACTTCCAAAAATGTTTGAAAAAAATCGTATATTTTCATTGCTTTATATAACAATAGTTTATTTGTGAAAATGTATGTATATTTTTTCTAGGGAAGATGTATGCATTTATGTAAATACTATGGATTAAAGCAACAATAGCATTTACTAGTATTAGTATTACTTAACTACTTCAACTTTTCATGAAAGAAATAGAAACTTCGTTACAATACCATACAATAAGGTGCATAATTAATTTATAACATATATTTATTACTAATATTTAAATATGTTACAGTATTCAATAAAAAATGGCACTCTGAAGAAACAGTAAATACATTTCTGAACTACTAATTGCATAAGTATTTACATATCTTTCGGTGAAAATACTTCATATAAAATCTCAGATTTTATAGATTATTGCTACTTCACGGAACTGACAGTTAAATAATTATATGCATATTTCTATTGCAGAGCGCTCTCTGTATCATTATATCTACTGTCAGAATACTTCAACAAACATTAATGTACGTTGCACTTATCATTCCAGACATTTTTACCATCTTACCGAAATGATAAGTCTATTTAACTCGATGAAGTCAACGTACATACACCGAATCGTAACTTTACATTCGTTCCTTTTAAACAATCCCCCGCTCTTCATTTTGAATATTTACCCTTTCAGAGTCTGAATCGTGTAATTTTGAAAACATAAACGTTCAAAGCGCTCGATTAATCTCCCGCCTTACAATATCGAATCGGATTCGTATCAAAGAATTGAAATTGAATCCAACAAACATGAACATTATTCCGTCCACATTGATCGAACGCAAATATCTGTCAGTTGCGAATATTTACTTCACAGTAAATGCACGTCTACAGTGAACGCAGTATTCATTTTCCTGGCGATCAATCGTTAAGCGTAACGTAAGTTTTCGGCGAATTGTCACCAAAGAAAGCATAAGGGGCGAAGAATAGCCGAACTCCGGGTTGGCATAGTGAATTTCGCGAGAATTCGTAACTAGCGGTGACTTTCGGGCACTTTTGATATGAGTCACACGATCAACCCTCTAGCCGAAAGCGGTTGAGCGATGCTGGCTGGTTGGGGGCGAGAGAGGGGAAGGCATTGGAGGAAAATTTAACGCTAGGGGTGGCGTACAGGCGCGGGCGCCATCTACTCGCTCAGTGGTTGACTATCGTCCGAAGGCCTGTGTACTCGCGATTGTATTAGCAGATTATTGCGACATTTCGTGTGACAATTTGATTCAAGTGTGTCGTGCCATATAACAAAGTGACCAGTGATACGCTGTAAGAACGGATACAAAAAGGTAATTAGACACGATCAAAGATACACCCGAGTCGTTTTCGGACGACGTACATCGGTTCGGGGTGGCTGCCATCCTCGATGCCAGACACGCGTTAACATGTTGGATCGATTCCTCTTTCTCACAAGTCGCGGATACGACGGGAGACTCCGTCCGAACCCTCGATTGCGGTCTCTTGGCGTTTTCTCGCTACCGATTCCCCAATTATTCTTTCCATTTCCAACAATCCGATTTTTCACTAATTTATTTCATCGGGCGATCAAGTGTCCCGACGTTCGAGCTGGTTGAGTCACCATCAGAAACCTCTGGATAGACAGACGCCTGCTAGCCGAAGCCTCTTCTTGCCTCTTCTTTTTTCCTTCACGGGTAGCATCGAGGCTATAAGAATTCATGATATCCCTGACCAATTCGGATTCAGGTCGACGAATATTTTATTCGTCCGTCCTCGTACTCGCGCCGCTGATGGTTCAACCTCCCTCGATTTAGCCGAAGGAGATGAGTCTATCTCGTGCGGCAAGGTTCGATCTGACAGTACGTGGTCACCGCTTAAAGTGTCGAACCGACACGTTATGACCACCGTTCACGGTGCTCCCATTCTTTGAACAGGAGCAATACGGCCGCGTTTACCTTGTAATGATTCCTCTGCGCCGCGTACGGGGAATTTTCACGTTCATTTCGTAGCTCGATAAACTTGGAAAGTTTATTGCTCGTCACGGAGGACGACGTGCACGAGTCTGGCGGGGCTGGAAGGGGAGAGGGGGTAGACATTTTTGGATTCTTGATCGATAATCTTTACGCGATTAACACAATTTCGGACCAGATGTATATATGTACGAGCGTTTTTATTATGGATCTGCGAGGTGCGCTACTGTTAAGCGCTTAACGCGTCGATGGTGATGGAAAAATTTTGGTTCGCTTGTTGTTGGATGAAAATGTTGGTTTTCGGTACGAAGAACGGAAGAACAGATGGGACAGGATGGATTTCCAACGCGTTTAGCGACGCGACGAATTTGTGCAAACGCAGCAAACATAATTTTCCCTTGGTTATTCATTCGGTTGTTAATATTAATGAGTCGTGTGTATGCGCTAATTAATTTATGTTGGTATTTATCGATGATTTGTTTTGTTTGCACTGTAAATAACGTTTCTTGGATTTCTCTTTAACGAACGAAAATCAACGCGAACGTTGCCGATATTTTAGCACTTTTAATTATATTCGTCGACAATGAAGTTTTAATTGGTACGCGGATGAAGAAATATGTAGGTACGCGAGACGTGACGTTTTAAATGGGACGAATTTCAAATATTTGCTTCTTGCGTTTCACGTTTTGTTTGCGGGTATTACTGTAATTGTGAGGCTGGAATTTAAAAAGAATAGAGAACACGAAAATTGTATGCAGTAAATGGTCGTACATCCTACTTAAAAGCATTGTTGCAAAATTATTTCGTTTATGCGACAGAAATTTGTTATTTTACATTTCATATTGGACTAAAATGTTATCATATAAATTTTTTGTGTAAATAAATAATCGGTTGCAATTACGAATCTTTTTTCATTGAATAACATTATGGAGTCTTGTTCGCATATGCATCTCAAAAAGGATTCAACCACACGCTGTTTTTCATATTTCCTAAGAAATCAAACGATTTATAATATTTCTATATTTTTCCACTGAAGGAGAAGAAATACTGAAGAAGACTCAAGTTTAGAACGAAATGACACTATGCCATTATTTTCTTGTTGTAACAATTTTTTACTCTCCGAATAACTTTACAGAAACACACATGCATTTCTTATTACATGGGTCGCCGTTCACGCATGGCATTTAGTCATTATATCTTTAAATTCTCTAACGAACCACTTCTATTAAAATACTATTAACAAAACTTCTTTGGTAAGATAACTGAATTTATTCTCGAACTATCTACACAGCTTAATAATTCCGAAAATCGTTTATATTTCGCATGTGTACTCGTATATATATATACTCAAACAAACTTGAAACGTTTAGAATAATTAGAATAATTAGAATAATAAAGATAGTCGTCGAAAACAAGAACAATTTACAAATTCAAAACATATTCAACACAGAAGTGACTAAAATGGTTAAATCTTGGAATTGGACAAGTTGAACCGAGAATTGAACGAAAACGGTATTTTCTGATAATGAACGAGCAAATCAGAACACCGCGAGATAATGATTCCATGTTAAAATAGAAAACTAATAAGCGTTCCATAATATACCGAAGAACGAGTGACATTATTGGCTTAATCGTGAGATAACTCGAATAAATATGGTATTTATAGATTCACAATTTCTGCAGACAATTGAGCGTACGTCGGATACTCTTTATGCATCGCGCATTGAAAGCTGAATGCGGTGCAAGCGAGAGAAATGCATATCCATGGCAACCCACGGCGTAAGCTTATACGAACCACCACCAGAAGTGGGGGAATTTGACATGTTGTATCATAGGTGGACAATGCTACGCCAGGCCCACTAACTTCAACCGTTATGTGCTAATATGATTACCTTATATAAAACGGACTAAATGGAGCGTAGAATGCGTTTGAAACCCCCGTTTCCATGAAAACTAACACCCTACACCCTGTTCCTCCTGTTATTTCGCTTTTTAACGCTCAACCGGTCACGTGTTTAACGGTACAAACCGATCTTGGACACGCTAATCAATTTTTCGATGAGTTCGCGCATTCACGTCGCACAGAAATTCGATAAAATAAAAATACTTCGGTCGACTTCGACTTTAACATTAAACGTAGCGGCGTTTTCTATACACCTGTTCTAAATAGCTGGTTGGAAGACGAAGGTGAACAGATTAAACGATCAATTTTTCTTAGTGAAAACAGAAACGAAAGAAAAGACGAACATTGGAAACTGATTAATCGGATAATACAGGGATTGATATTAAGTTAAAGGAACGAAAAAAGTGGAGAGTTTTTAATTAAATTTTAGAATTGGTCATGGTACGTTTAGTAGTCAATTTTTATGAAGGTCTTCTAGTTTAGGGGACTAAAGAATGTATTTTGTTTTACATCTTTAAGTTCTCGTGATGTGAAGGATATACCTTTGAAGCATTTTTATATAATTTGTGAGATTGTAAATGTTTTGAGGTTATAGTAGAGCAGTGTGCTAATTATTTAGTAAAATTTATATGTACAAATTAAAGAACCCTATACTGCCTATATTTGGATTTTTAAGTTTTTGTACGGGAAATTATGTATTCAACCGGAAAAATACAATTTTAACTCATATTGAACTCGATATGAGTCAATTTAATTCATATTGAATTTTATAAAATTATTTAGTAAATGTTTGGGTTGATTTTAAAATAATTTTAATATATAAAGTACTTTTAAACTTCTAATTCCTAAGATTTCAAATGAAGGAATGTCAAATTTTCCACGAACGATAGTACAAACTGCACAGCAAATGTTCGTAAATCTAGTGCTAATAACGTTGCATAGATATATCAGCGCTAACTGAGACTTACAGCACTTGGATTATTCACGTTCAATAATTACGGTTTAATAAGTTACAAGCTCTCTGCTGGAGAGATAAGAGATTCTATCTTTCATTACTTCTGATGAGGTTTCTTATTATCTCTCCATCGATATTGTTCCTTGCTTCCAATGAAACTTACAAGTGAACAACAAACAGTGATTCAAATGAAGTTCGTTCTGATATTAGAAATATAATATACATTGTGTAAGTTAAAATACAGTATAAATGTTTATATACAGAAATGTACCTTTATTTTGATTAATTTCGTAGTATTTTATATCTGCGCAAAGTAAAAGTGTGTAATGGTTTTATCCTGAAACGTCGAAGCAGTCAAATGGTGAGGGATTACTGTTTCTAAACCGTACCGTAGTACGCAAGCGCGCCAGTTGCCATGAATGGCCCCTAAAATTTGTATTCATATTCTGAAAAGTCACCACGTGGGCAGCTCAATTTGATTTGAGTAAAATTTATGAGCAATTCGCTATGGCTTGGAACAGCCGCGTATTTTTATGAAGTTATCGCAAATATTTTGAAATTTTGTAAAAAAAAACCGTAAGTCCAAAAAGTAATAGATACGTACGGGTTTTAAACAAAAGCTACGAAAGGTGAAAATAATAAAAATACGATGGTAGCTGATACTAGTTTTATTAGTACGAAAGCTGATTGTGAGAGTAATGGATAATCGGATTCTTATTAACTGATAATTTAATAAGAGTAGAAACGCAACAACAATATTAACATTACTTGAACACTTGACACAATCTATATGTCAATAGTGTTAAATGCATTACAAAATAGGCCACTATTTATTAATATATAATAAGGAAACTAAGTTTTGTATTAGTTCAAAATATTTAACCAAACTTTTTATTTCATTAAAAATAAAAAAGCATTATCATATAATTAATCATATTTATTATTATAAGTAATATGCTTCAAAGATTCTAACATACTTCTCCTGAAGTCCACTCTCTTTATCATATTTGCTATCCTAGTGTCTTTTAATTTTCTTTGAGGAAAATCTATCAGTGGATAATCGAATTCTTGTCGACAGAAAAATAGTTATAATATCCCTAATTTCTTTTTGGTCTTTCATGAAGAGGACACTCTTGAGATAACAAATTAGGGTAAGTGCTAGAAATGTTTGACTATTCGCCTTGACGTTGTTTATACAATTATAAATATATCTTCTTTTAAACTCAGTTTTTCTAATCTTGTCCCATGTTTTTGTAGAAATTACCGATTTGATGAGTTCATTCTTTTAATCCTTTGCCTGTAATATGGTTTTGCATTAATGTAGTTGACAATATGGACGTTTTATGGTCAGGTTTGATTTTTCCTTATTGTGAACTCTAATAATCTAAAAAAATCAAAGATACTTATTATAATCTCTAATTTAATACCCAGAAGACACTTTAGCTAAATATTCATATTATACTCCAATATAAATTAAAAGTCTTGGTGAAAACAAGATGAAAT